TACTACCAAGCACTTGCAGAAAACCCAGATTCTTGAAAACCCAGAAACCTTGGTGGTTAAGAGTGCTTACCACCAAGCTCTTGCAGAAAACCCAGGTTCCATTCCTAGCACCCACATGACATCGATATAACCATCAATAATTCCAGTTCCAGGCGATTCTACACCTTCTTCTGGCCTCCAGAGGCCAGAAGAAGGTATACTTACATACATGCAGGTGAAACACTCGTACACATAAAATAAAATTAAAGCTAAATTAAATTAAACCCATGTCAGTATTGTTATTATCTAACCTTTTCTTATTTAATCTGTTGTATATAAAATATTTTGTTTCTTTGGTGATTAGAATCAAATCCAGGGCCTAATGAATCCTTAGCATTTACTGTGCCACTGAACATCTTCCAAAATTTTTTTACTAGATCTCAGAATGGTATCAAACCTTACTTAAAATTGAGTTTCATTATTTGCTTTCAACATGCACAATTTTTCTACATTGCCTGACAAAAAAGTTGAGGAAAGATTTACTTTAGCTTACTGTCATGATCTCATGGCCCCATGCACTCAGATAAAACTCAGTAACTAAAGCTGATTGGAGCAGCTTACATCGTGGTGGGCAGGGGTCAGAGAGAAAGGGATATAAGCTATAAGGACAGGTACCCAGTGACCCGACTTCTTCCAGCTCGGCCCTGCCTCTCTACGTTTCACCATGTCCCAATTAAGCTGTTACATTATGAATTATGAATCTGTTGATTAGGTCAGAACCCTCATGATCTGACTGTAGAAACCAGAGGCATGCTTTATTAACCATCTAGACATTTCTGCCAGTCAAATTAACAATCAAGATTATCACATTATATTCTTTTAAAAAATTATTACATTTACTTGTGCATTGGAAGAGGAGTGGCATGTGGTACAGAGTGTTTGTGGAGGTCAGAGAACAACTTATAGGGGTCAGTTATCTTCCTCCATGTGGATTTCAGAGATTGAATTTAGGTTGTAAGGCCTCATGGCAGGCACCCTTACTCACCTAGCCATCTTGCTGAGTGGTTTTGTCTTGTCTGTCTGCTACTCATCTAGTAATCTTGCTCAGTCTTTTTGGTTTTGTGTGTGTGTGTTGTACATGCATGTTCATATGCATGGTCATGTGTGTAGGTGCACATATGTGTGCATGTAGAGGTCCTAGGTTGACATCAGGTATCTTCCTTGCTCTCTGCTTTGTTTATTGAGGCACATTCTTACTTGAACTCAGAGCTGGCTGGTCAGATAGTCTAGCGTGCCACCTTGCCCTAGAGATCCTGTCTCTGCCTCCTGGGCTGGGATGTAGGTTACCTGCAGGCCTGCTCGTTTTTTACATCTAGACTCTTGTCTTCCTGCTTCCATAGCAAGTGCTTTATCCACTGAGACATCTCTCCAGCCCCTCAATCTTTGTCTTGTTTTGTGTTTATTTGTTTGTGGAGGTAGGTGGGGTGGACATGGGTGCTTGTGTGAGCATACACAGATACACACATGCCATGGCTCATGTATAAAGGTCAGAACTTTTAGGACTCAATTCTCTCCTTCCATTGTGGGATATGGTGATCAAACTCAAGCATTCAGGTTAGTGTAGCAGTACCTTTACTCTCTGAGCTATCTTCCCAGCCCAGCCATTCAGTTTTTATACACATATATATACATACACACATATATATACTATTTATTTTTTATTTTGTATGTATGAGTGTATGGGTAGGTTCACCCATGTCATGTGATGCCTGTAGAGGTCAAAAGAGAGTGTTGGAGCCCCTGGAACTGGAGTTACAGATGGTGGTTGTTGCCATGTGGGTGCTGGCAGTTGAACCCGGGTCCTCTGAAATAGCAGCCAGTACTCTTAACTGCTGAGGCAGCTCTCTAGCTCCATCATTCAGTCATATAGTAAATACATTCATAAACTTGATAGCTTCTGCATTTGTATGTTTTCCATTTGAAACTTAGTATAGTTGGGCATGGTAAACAATAATTGCTTTCTACGTTAGCTGTTGATCGGGTAGGTGTGGTTCTTGCATTGTCTTGAGTCTTGAGAACAAGACGCTGTGCTTCAACTGTTGCAGCACTCTTGGGAACATTGACTACATGCCTTTTCCTCAAGCCTGTGAGTTGTACCCAAAGTTTCTCATCTTACACCCTACTTACTGTCAGGCCAGATGGACATACAGACCCTAAGGAGTTTTAGAATGTTTAATTTGTCCTTTTGCTTGATTAGACTACCAGCAGGGCCTGGGAAAAAACACCAAGCTGTGCCTTTCTGGCAAGAAATAGTGTGTTACTTACTCTATTATGTGCCAGTTATGAAATAATTGTCAGAAATAACTGTCTTAGGGAATAGCTGTAATGAAGGTCATTGGGGCTCTGGTTTCTTTTTCACCCTCTAAACATGTAATCTGTGCTTACATTCTTCCTTTTCATACCTATATTTCTATAGCAATCTTCCCCCCTCCCCTTCAAGGAATTTTCAGTTCTGGCCTGTTTTAATGTCTGTGGTCCTGGTTGCTTTGCTTCCATTCTTAGCATTGCTGTCATCCTCATGCTCCACACTGCAGCTCAAGCATCCTTTCTTTTTTCTTAAATTGTACTGTCCCATGTGGTAGTCTTTAACCATATGGGACAGTTGGCATTGAAATTACTTAAATCAAAATTTATTATTTTTTTCAAGACAGTGCCTTACTATGTAGCTCCAACTGACCTCAGAGATCTGCCTGCTTTTGCCTTCCCAGTGCTGAGTTTAAAGGTGTGCATCTCAACAATGGCCTTAATTTAAAGAAAACAGTCTTCATGGTCTGTGAGATATCTCAGTGGGTTAAAGTCACTTGCTGTTTAAGCTTGTTGACCTAAGTTCAATCCTGTAATCCACATAAAGGGGAAAGAGAACTAACTCCACAAAGTTGTCCTATGACCTCCATGTGGCTACTGTGGCATATGTGCACGTATACACAGTAATAACAGTTTTTCAGAAATGTTGTTAATAAGCAGTATTCAATCACCACTAGGCACATTTCTGATAACAGTCACTTATGGCTTAGTAGACACCAAACTGAACACAAGTAAGACCTTTGTGGTTTTTTGTTTTGTTTTGTTATGTTTTGAGGAAAGGATCTCAAACTCAAGATTCTCCTACCTAAGTTTCCTGAGTGATAGGATTACTGATATGTACTGTTGTGTCTAGCTTAGAACATTTTTAGAACCTCAGAAAATTGTTAAATAGCATTTCTTTAGAGTTCAAATAAAATTACTCCATTTACTATTGGAAATAAAACTTCTTTACATGGCCATATATTAAAGCCCAACAAAATCTTGGTTTTCCCAGGGCTTGGTAGCACATACCTTTAAACCCAGCACCCTAGAGGCAGAGGCAGGTGAATTTCTGAGTTTGAGGCCAGCCTGGTCTACATAGCAGGTTCTAGGCCAGCCAGGACTTCATAGTGAGACCCTGTCTCATGAAAACAAACACAAAAATCTTGATTTTTCTTTTTCATTTTAATCCCCACAATCCTTTATTATACTCCAGATATACTTACCTTTTTTCTTTAACTTTTAAATTTTACTTATTTTATGTGTATGTGTGTATTGCCTGCATGTAGGTAAGTGCACCTGTGTTGTGCTGTGCCCACAGAGGTCAGAGGAGGCTGTTGGATCCCCCAGGACTGGAGTTATAGACAGTTGTTAGCTGCCATGTGGGTGCTGGGATTTGAACCCAGGCCTTCTGCAAGAACAACTAGTGTTCTTAACCACTGAGCCATCTCTCCAGCCCGGTACTTACCCTTTTTGTAAAGAAAATTTTTATTTTTTATTTTTGTGTATGAGTGTTTTGCCTGCATGTATATAAGTACATCCATGTCATACAAAGCCTGCAGAGGCCAGAGGAGGGTGTCAGATCCCTAGAAATGACATTATAGATGGTTGTTAGCCACCATGTGCATGCTGGAACCAAACCTGGGTTCTCTGCCTAGGCTATAGAGTGAGTTCAAGGCCATCCTGGGTAACTTAGATTTTGTCTACAAATAAAAGGTCATAAAATTATTTAGTCTGATCTAAAGGTTTTTTTTTTTTTTTTTTAAAAAAAGAAAAACAACAACAACAAAAAAACCCCAGCAGCTTGCTATGTAGCTCTGGCTAGCCTGGAACTCATTATATAGACCAGGCTAGCCTCCATCTCATAGAGAGATCCTCCTGCCTCTGCATCCCAAGGGCTGGAATTAAAGGTGACCACCACCAAGTTCTAAACCATTTTGATACTTTTGCATACTCATTAAATTGTAGCATGAGTGTACATTACTTTTCTATAGTATATACAGGATTTTCCACCACAAAGGGTACAGATTATAACACCAATAAATATAAACTACTGCACATAACAGTGCAAAAATGAGTAGTTGTGAAGTGTCATGAATGAGATCAGTGGCTACTGATGGAGTGATAGACAAACGTACTAAATGAGAACAGAAGGTCATGGGAGGTAGTATTATTTCTGGCTGATTTTTTATTCACTATTCTATATTTTTTCATTTGGAACAAAAAGGAATTTTAAAAAGATTTTTTGTAAATGCTGAATATATAAAATATGAAAATTTAGAGAAGAAATCAAAATGGATGAGTAAAATCACAAAAGCTTTGTAGGAAAAACATGTATTGTACTTCCTTGAGCATTGTCAACTCCATTTTTGGGCCAGATGGGGTCTTTTTAAAAAATACATATTTTATTTTATGTGTATGAATGTATTGCCTGCATATTAAGTGCACCTGTGTTCTGCAATGCCCACGGAGGTCAGAAGAGGGCAGTAGATTCCCCCAGATGGTGGTTAGCTGCCCTGTGAGTGCTGAGAACCAAATGGGTGGGTTCTTTTTGATACAGTTTCATTTCTTGCACCTCCTGTCTTGCCTTTTAAGTGCTGCATTGTAGTTTTAAGAGGTTGTTAAGGCTACCCTGCTGGAAGTACAAAAAATAAAGGACAGGTACTTGTCTTTTGCAGGTTGCTTCATGTACGAAATGGAAATTGTAAATACCATTTGGGTGAAGAAACATTTAAATTAGCCCAGACATATATGGATAAACTGTCAAAGCATGGCCAGCAAGCAAATAAAGCTGCTCTCTATGGAGAACTCTGTGCACTACTGTTTGCAAAAAGTCACTACGATGAGGTAAGTTGGCTTGTTCTGAGACAGGATCTCCCTTTGTAGTGTAGACTGGCTTTGTTGTGATCCTCCTGCCACAGTGTCTGAGTGCAGAGACTTAAGGCGCACTGTTTTGAAGGACATACATGGTATGCGCCATCATGTTCTATTACATACTAAGGTTATGTAATAAATTTTATTGCAAAAATGGAAAAATCATTTGATTTTTCTAGTGGATAATGTAAAAAACACAATAGAAATATTTATGAGATTTTAAAATTTGCTTAAATTTGGGGTCTTTTTGTTTAATTTGTGCAAATGTTTCTCTGCCTAACGTGTTTTAAAGGAAATTCTGTTAACTGAGCCTTAGTAAATGCATTTGATTGAATGTGTCATTCTGGATGTCCTCTAATTTGAAAGGGGTTCATATTTATTTAATTTGGCAAGTAGTAGACCACTGAACTTTATCCTCCAATTCTGTCTTTAATTTGGAAATAAAGTGTTTTAAAACAGTATTATGGTTACCATAGTTCTAAAAATGTTACTTTGGAACAAAATCAGTTTATTTAGTATCCTAAAATTGTAAGCCAAATTTTTGGGCCTAAATCTGGTGAAGTTAATGAACTTTTATTTTGCATCACAGTTACTTTTGAATAGCTGTATCCCTCTTTTTTTAGTGTTGTATCTAAGTAAAATGGAAGAAAAATAAACTTACAGAAGATAACAAATAATTATTTTTCTCTCTGTCCTTGGGGAACTCTCCGTGAATTGTTTGTGGGTATGTTGGGGTGGTGGCTTGATAGCCTACACATGTATGTGCATGCGAGGAGGCTAGAGGTCCACCTTGGGTGTTGTTTATCAGGAGGTCTCCACCTTGTTCTTTTTTTTGTAATGTGTATTTGTGTGTGGTATATGTGAATTTTATGTATGTTTATTCACATAGGTATGGGCAGGTATACTTGCATATGTGTATGCATGCATGTGGAAGTCCAAGGTTGATAACTTGAGTCTTCCTTGATCGGTCTTCAACCTTATTTATTGAAACAAAGCCTCACTTAAAACCAGAGTTTACCAATATGACTAGTGTAGCTAGTCAGGTTAAGAGGGCTATACCTTCCAAGACTGGAATTACAGGTGAGCTGCCGTGCCACACAGCATTCATGTGTGTTCTGGAGATTCAAACTTCAGTCCTCTTTCTTGCTCAGCAAGAAGCACTTTAGCCACTGAGCCCTCTCCCCAGCGTGCACACACACACATATATATATATATATACACATATATATTATATATATGTGTAATATGTATATATGTAATATGTATGTATATGTATATATGAGAACCTGGGACTTGATTAGATTTGGCCAGCCCTGGGGATTTTCTTTCACTGTTTCCCTAGCACTAAGATTACAAGTGTTTACCACCATGCCCAACTTTTTACGTGGGTATGGGGGATCAGATTCAGGTCCCCAGCTTTGCAGCAAGCACTTTACTGATTGAGCTGTCTCCCTGCCCCCACAGATTATTGTGTCTCTTTATATAGAATAGCAGTTGTCACTATCCAAGATAACTTGTTTTGCCTTTTTATCTTCTGCTAGCCACTAGGAAAAGGTCATTTTTGTTTTGTTTTGCTTGGCTTCCCACTACATACCTAGATGCCCACTACTTAACCTTTGTACCTTAGGTTGCCATAATAATAGTACATATATCATGGTGCTGTGGTGTCAGTTAAATGTGTTAAAGAACATAGTGTTTATTAGAACAGTAGCTAGCATAAACATAAAGTAAGCACTCTACTAAACAGGCAATTAAGATGGAGAATAATAAAGTGTTATGAAAGCGGATGGAAAATATAAGGAACCTAGCCTAATACTAAACCTGAAAAATTAGTTGCTTCAGCCTGGAGCCTTAGAAGGGAGATGTGTTCTAAGATGGAGGGAATGCTACATGCAAAAGGCTTCTGGGCAAAATAGAACATGCCTCATTTCCTGAATGTGTGTGTCACATCTTTCACATCCTGATTCAGAAAACTGAGGATTTTGAGAGGTGGAGGGTGTTTGAGATAAGGTCTCACTGTGCAGCCCAGGCTGACCACTAAGTTCCCAAGCTAACCTTGAATTCATGGAAATCCTCTAGCCTCAGCCTTCCTGATTCTGGAATTATAGACATGCATTACCATACTCGACGTCAGAAAAAGTATAGATCTAAGAATAAAAATAGTGTAATCAGCTCGTACTTTGAAGAAAATTTAGCCACAGAAAATATATAAAATATGTTATTTTAAAAAAAGTAAATACCTTGTGTTTTGGGCCGGGGAGATGGATGAGCAGTTAAGAGCACTGGCTGCTCTTGCAGAAGACCCAGGTTCGAGTCCCAGCACCCACATGGCAGCTAACTACTGTCTGTAACTCCAGTTCCAGGGGATCCGATGCTCTCTTCTGACATCCACCAGCAATGCTCGACACGGGTACACTTAACGTATGTGTAGGCAATACACACTCATACTTAAAAATATTTTTTAAAAATCTTGTGTTTTTATTTATTTAAGTATTTGAAAGCTTGTAAGAGAAATTCACAATATAAATACTGTCATTTAATTTGCCCCTTTTTCTTTTTTTTTAAAGGCATACAAATGGTGCATTGAGGCAATGAAAGAAATTACAACAGGCTTACCAGTCAAAGTTGTGGTGGATGTTTTAAGACAAGCTTCTAAGGTGAATATAATATTTGAAATATTGAGTGAACTATAGGATTTTTCCAGCTTTAAATTGTTAATCTAGTATTTAACATCTTAGTTGTTTATTGACTAGCAAGATTGCTCAGTTAGAAATCTGATTTCTAACTAAAACTGTCTCATAAATTTTACATAATTTTCCTTTATCCAAGGAAACCTGTTTAGTAATTTATTTAGTAATCGTTTCTCTTCACTAAGGTACACATCACAGTAATAGTTGGTGCTAATTTGGCTTGAATTTTTGTTTTCTTAAATCTGTGCAGTAATCTGGGCCCTAATGTCATTTATCCTAATAGGTGACCTAGTATTTATTAAACATTTTCGTCACAGTTTCATAGCAAGATAGCGTGGTATATTTGATCTGCTAGGCAGTCTTTATTTGATTTTTTTTCCCTCTAGTTTCTTTTTCAGTAAATAAATATACCAACTCTTTAAAGCTATTTAGTATCATTTCAAAGTTACTGCTATAGTATATCAAAGCCTTGAAGCATTAATGCACTTTTGACATATATTCATTATATCTAGAAGTTGTTTACATTTGAAAATCCCATTTTGGCTAATTTTATCTGTGTAAATTCCATCAGAAAAAAAGATCGGAAAATGTCCATTGAGATGGCTCAGTGATTTTGACTACTGGGGCCCAAATGGTGAAAGGAGACAACCAACTCCTGCAGCCATCCTCTGACTTCCCCACATGCACCATTCTTTTTTTCCACATATGTGCACAGATATGTGCATGCACACACAGACACACAGGAGAAATAGCTAAAAAAAAAAAAATTAAATATATATTTATACACATACAAACATACATATATATACGTAAAGTGCCAAAAGATCATTGTAATGCATTCCAGAAATGAAATAATGTACCTTAAAAATACTGTAAGTCCCTTCCATCCATTTTATTTTAATATAGAACTACTATTGTGTGAATTCATAAACTGTACTTACTATAGCACAATAATGAACTGTGTGAAAGTTATTTAGTAATTTTTCCTTTGTCTTTAGGCTTGTGTGGTAAAACGTGAATTTAAGAAGGCAGAACAGTTAATTAAACATGCAGTGTATTTGGCACGGTAGGTGATAGTGTTTTAAAATACTATTTTAACTTTCTCTTTGAAGTTTATATCCTAATAGTTCTGTATCTTTTTATAGGGATCACTTTGGATCCAAGCACCCAAAATACTCTGATACACTGCTAGATTATGGGTTCTACTTGCTCAATGTAGATAATATCTGTCAATCTGTTGCAATTTATCAGGTATGTTAATAGTTACTTCCCTTTTTAGCTTTCAACTTAAATTGACTTGCTGACCTGTTTGTTTGCCATATATAAACCATATCTAAAAGAACTCCAAGACTCACTTTTCTCCTATAGGCCTCCCCATTACTTTAAGTATTATGTAGATGGCTTCAAAGTCCAGTATTTTAAGAATTAAAGAATCATACAGGACTAGAATCATTAGGCTGTGGGTCCATAGCCTAGAGGACTTTCATTTGCCTAGTGATGCCGTGACTTTGGATGATCATCAAGAGTCAGTCTGCCTGCCTTTTTACCAACAAGACTTAATAGCAATAATTTTAGGCCTTTGTAGTCATTACTTCAGGCAAATGATGTTCTGTACCCATGAGTGGTAGAGCACTCGCCTTTAGGCTCCATTACAGGAAAAAAACAACTGATGTGATTCCCAAGACGTAAATTAGCAAGCCATTTTGTGTGTGTGTGTGTGTGTGTGTGTGTGTGTGTGAGAGAGAGAGAGAGAGAGAGTGTGTGTGTCTTTTTTTGAGACAGGGTCTCCCTGTAGCCCCAGTTGACCTGGAACTTACAATGTAGACCAGGCTGGCCCTAAACTCACAAAGATCCACCTACCAATGCCTCCCAAGTGCTGGGATTAAAGGTGTGTGCCACCACGCCCGGCTAGCAAGCCATTTCTAACTCAAGCCTTAACTTCACAAAATCAGGCCCTGGGAAGACTTTCAGGTTCTGTTGTGTTTTAAATCCAGCAGAACTTTCTTACTTAAAAACTGAAGAGATTGGGTACATAAATTATGAAGATGTTTAACTTGGGTGCTCTACAATGTTATTAAATATTTTTATGATTCTTTCAGGCAGCCCTCGACATTCGACAGTCAGTGTTCGGTGGCAAAAATATCCACGTAGCAACAGCTCATGAAGACTTGGCTTATTCTTCTTATGTTCACCAGTATAGTTCTGGAAAATTTGACAATGCACTGTAAGTTCCATATTTTTTGGTGAAGGATAATAATATTTTCCCCTCTCTTGTAATAGTCCTTATTATACTTTGTGGATTAAATTTGTCCTAGTACTTTAAAAGAATTGCTAAATATTTTCAAAGTCATTTAAAACTCATTCCTATTTATAAGGCATTCATTTAAGCTTTATGTGGTTTCATTTTGAGATTTGTGTATTTTTATGGACTATGAGTTATCCTTTCATTATTTCCTTCAGTGAATTTTCTTTGAATAATTAGTTGCTTCTAGCTAAACAGTAAATTCAATAATCTAAAAGCTTATTGCTGAAAATATAGAAATACTGAGTAAAATATAACCATTCTTTTAACTGTATAACTGAGCTTGTAAGAAGAGTGAGCAGAAATCCCTAACAACTATAAAGGACGTGAAAATCCCCAGCCAGGGACTATAGCCTACAGACAAAATATTTTCCTGAGACACAGCCTTGCTCATTTGTCTCATCTGATTTTTTTCTGGCCGTTTTCATGCCATGATAGCAGAGTTAAATAGTTGTGAGAGAGTATGTTGCCATTGTACCCTGAAGTAGTTACTAACTCCTTACAGTAAAAGTTTGCAGAAAAGGTTTACAGGGCTGGATGGATGGCTCAGTGGTTATGTGTTGCACTTCTGGAACTCTTTCAGAGGACTTGAGTTCAATTCCCATTACTCACATCAGGTGGCTCACAACTGCTTATAACTTCAGCTCCAGGCAATGTAATACTCTTGACTTCTGAAGGCATGCGTACCACACACACATATATATATAAACAAAATTCCTGCCAGGTATGGTGACGTGATACTTTAAACTCAACACTTAGGAGGTAGAGGCAAGCAGAGCTCTGTGAGTTCAAAGCCAGTGTAGTCTACATAGAGAATTCTAGGCCCACCACAGCTACATAGTGAGACCTGTCTCAACTCTTCCTTCCAATTTTTTTTTATTTTGACGTTTTTTTGAGACAAGGTAGTCCTGTGTTGCATACGAAAGCAGGCTGGAGCTAGATAGATGGCTCGGTGGTTAAGAGCACTGACTGCTCTTGCAGAGGACCCGAGTTCAATTCCCAGCACTCACATGGTGGCTAACCACCATCCGTAACTCCAGTTCCAGGGGAATCTGATGCCTTCTGACTTCTACAGGCATTGTACAATACCGGTCACTTACATGCATGCAGGCAATACACTCATACACATAAAATGAAAAAATATATTTTTTAAAGATTTAATGCCAAAGCCTGGTGTGGTGGCACATGCCCGTAATCCCAGCACTTGGGAGGTAGAGGCAGGTGAATCTCTGCTTGTTCAAGGCCAACCTGGTTTACATAGTATGTTCCAGGCCAGCTGGTCTTCAAAAGACCAAAAAGGAAAAGAAGATTCAATGCCACCTAGTTTAGTGAGTTCACACCAAACTAGGCTACATAGTCTCCAGAAACAACTGTTTTTTGGAAAGGCAGGTTTCACGTTTTTGGAGGAAGAACATAGCTATGTTACCTAGGAGTCTTGAAATCTTGGGCTCAGTTTTTTTTCCTTATGTATGTGAGTGTTTTTTGCCTGTCTGTGTATATAAGTGCACTTGTGCATGCAGTACCTGAGGAGGCCGAAAGAAGGTGTCAGATCCCCTGTCACTGGAGTTGCAGATGGTTGTTAGCCACCATGCAGGTGCTGGGAACCAAATCCAGGTCCTCTGTAAGAACAACCAGTGCTCTTAACTACCAAGCTATCTTTCCAGCTCCCTACTTCATACTCTTGATGACTGAGAATGCATTATGTCATGTCCAGATAGACAAATCCAGAGAGACAGAAAATAAGTGGATAGATAGTATTTAGCTGCATTGGAGGGAAGTAAGGAGTGGCTAAAATGGGTCTAGGAGGGTAGTGGTTTTTATTTTATTTTTTTTAGTAATAAAAATGCCCTAAAATTGATTGCAGTGGTGAGTATATAATTCTGAATATACTAAAAAGCATGGTGGCTGACACCTATAATCCAAGCACTCAGAGTGAGGCAGGAAGATTATGGTGAGTTTGAGACTAGCCTCGCTTACTAAATGGGAACTTGTCTCAAAGAAAGAAATGAGGGAATTGAAGAAAGGGAACCTGTATTGATGTTAAGACTCTATAGACAATTTTATTTTTTGGTCTTTTTGAGACAGGGTCTCCCTGTAGCCCCAGCTGGCCTGGAACTTGATAGCTAGACCAGACTGGCCTTGAATTCACAGAGATCCACCTGCCTCTGCCTCCCAAGTGCTGGGACCAAAGGCATGCACCACCACGCTGGGTTATAGACAGTTTTGAAACAGCACAACTAAAGAGAATTAGTGAATTTGAAGATAAATTTTATAAAATTTAGGGTTAACTGAAAGATAGGGATGCTGGAGAGACACCTCAGCAGTTAGAACTCATACTGCTCTTACAGAAGACCAGAGTTTTCAGTTCCCTGCATCCATGTTGGGCGGCTTGTAACTCTAGTTCCAGCAAGGTCTAATGCCTCACCTCTGTGGGCACCTGCACTCACACATACATATCCACACAGAGATACATAATTAAAAATAAGAAAAATCTTTTCTAAAGTCTGAGCTGTAAGAGACTAGCAGGTAAATTGGACAAATAGTATACCTTTTGTTTAGTGTGATGGGGTATTAAGAGATGGACCAGACATATCAGGTATGAATATTATTGTGAACAACAAAGTTGAGTGTAAATTTTAGTTTGTTCTAGAAAGGTCTGTTCAGTAAGAATGAGCCATGTGCATACTGAAGAGAAAGCATTGCAGAGCTGGAGTTATAGACAGTTGTGAGCTGCCCACAGTAGATCTAGGAACTGAACTCAGGTCCCCTGGAACAGCAGCAAGTCTCTAGGTGCTGAGTGATCTCTCCAGCCTCAGAACTGCTTCTTTATCTTGTTCTTCATTAGTGCTTTCTTTCAGTGCTGTAGCACATGTTGATTTTTTTTTTTTTACAGTGCTTGTATTATTTTTAACTAAAATGAAATATCAGACTCTATCTATGTGTATTTCAGATTTCATGCAGAAAGAGCCATTGGTATCATTACCCACATTCTACCTGAAGATCATCTTCTTTTGGCTTCTTCAAAGAGGGTGAAAGGTACCTTTGTAGTCTAGTCTCAGATAATTGTAAATTGATATGTGGCCTAAAATAAGGGTGTTTATTTTCTCAGAAGTAGTATGTTAGACTATATCTACATAGAACTAAAACAGCTCTCTCGACTCTAGTGGTTCTTAATGAAGGACTGTATACTTCTCATAGAACATTGTTTTTTCCTTTTGATTTCTCCCTCCCTGTCTCCTCCTCCTCTCCCTCCCTCTGAGAAAAACATAGAGAAATAACACAAATGATTCCACCGTCATGTGGTCAGAACCCTGAAGATGGTTTCATATTGTTGGTTTTATAGTGCAGGATTCCTAAACTGAACTGCAGATGAAGTTACACTAAATTTTGCTTTTGCTAGATATCATTTCTTCCTTGATTTTAACTTTTCTCCTAATCCTCACCAGTGGTCTTTCGCTGAATGTGTTAGTTTTGTCCTGATTGGATCATCCTTATGGTAATTCCTTGAAAGTTGGATAAATTTTGTCTTAATTCTGGATTACCTTAATTCCAATTAATATTAATAAGTTAGAATTCAAAGAGAGGGGCTGGCAAGATGGTTCAGTGGTTAAGAATACTGACTGTTCTTGCAGAAGACCCAGGTTTGAAATCCTAGCACCCACGTGGCAGCTAACAACTGTCCATAACTCCAGTTCCAGGATATCTGACAACAGCCTCTTGTGTCCTCCACAGACATTGCATGACATGAGTGCACTTACATGCAGGCAATACACACATACACATAAAAATAATAAATTTTAAAAATGCAAAGAGAAAAAAGTTACCCAAAGCCACATCAGTCCTGAATCACCATACCTTTTTTTTTTTTTGGTCTTTTTGAGACAGGGTCTCCCTGTAGCCCCAGCTGTCCTGGAACTCACTATGTAGACCAGGCCAACCTGGAACTCTCAGAGGTCTACTTGCCTCTGCCTCTCGAGTGCTGAGACTAAAGGTGTGTGCCATCACACCCAGCTATAACCTTTTTTTTTTTTATTTAACACATGATGAACATTTTTTCATTTCAATACATATATGTGTTTACTCTTTGTTATTTAATTTCATCTCAATTGTTGAAACTTTATATTTGTTTTAAACCTAGTTCTTTAAAAAAGCTGCAGTAAGGTAATATTCTTTTGCCTACCTTTGACACACTGGCAGTAGGACAAGAAATAAAATTACCTGATAAACAAATACCTATATTCTTAAGATTTTGTATGGAATTTGAAAGCCTTGAATGAAACTTCTAAACTGAGATGTCTTCTGGCCTGATTCCGTTGGTCAAATGAGGAGAAAGAAACCATTTTATTCATTGTGTTTGGTTAAAGGTCATGTTTTATAAAGGGTGGTTTCAAAATTTTTCCAATGTACTTAAGGCACTCCTTGACATAGTTTTATAACTAGCATTTTTGCTACTTCTCTTTTGTCCTTTTGTTTTTATTTGTTTGCTTGGTTTTTTTTTTTTTTTTGGTGGTGGTGGTGGTGGTGGTTTTTTGTGGTGGTAGTGGGTGGGTGGGTGGTTGGTTGGTTGGTTGGGGTTTTTTGAGACTAGGTCTCATGTAGTCTAAGCTGGCCTTGCATTTGTATTGTAGCTGAGGATAGCCTTAAACTACAAATCCTGCTGTTTCAGCCTCCCAGTTCCTGGCACAGGCATTCACCACCATATGTACCTTAACCATTTACATTTAAAATAAATTCTCAATAGTAAAATGCAACAGCCTGTATTACAATAGAAGCTGATTCTTCAAACTACATAAGATGTACTGTTGCTTTTACTTAAATTTGAATCATTATACTGTGAAAAATAGAATGACTTTTTCCTAAAAGTGTACGATTGAAGTAGATTTGGTGGCTAGGCACAGTGGCACTGCATGGAATCCCAGGACTTGGGAGGTTGAGGCAGGAGGATTGCCGTGAATTCAAGGTCAGCCTGGACTACATATTGAGAGGCTGGCTCAAAAAAGCAAAAGTAGAATACTCTCATCTTGACCAGTTTGAAACAATAATCACATATATTCAGTATTCAATAAATGCTTATATTCTTTAATTTCATTTAAATGTTTGTTGATTTGGAAATGGTTTTATAGTATCCTAATTTCTTGCTTTCTTACTTTAGCACTTATTTTAGAGGAGATTGCAATTGACTGTCATAACAAGGAAACGGAACAGAGGCTGCTTCAGGAAGCACATGATTTGCACCTGTCTTCACTCCAACTAGCCAAAAAAGCTTTTGGAGAATTTAATGTACAGACTGCAAAACACTATGGTAATCTTGGAAGACTTTATCAGTCAATGAGAAAATTTAAGGTAAAAATAAGTTTTATATTCTTTCTCCCTAAATAGTAAATTTTAAATAATAAATCTTCAGTAATCTTCAATAATAATAAAGTATATTTTCATTTTACCTTCTACCTATCCCACAAAAAAACTGAGAAAATAGCATAAAACCCTGCCTTCAAATTACAAATGAGTGCTGGGTGTGATAGCACACAACTTTAATCCCAGCACTCCAGAGGCAGAGGCAGTAGGCCTACCTGGTCTCCATAGTGAGTTCCAGGCCTGCTGGGGCTACAGGGAGACCCTTTTTCAAAAAGACAAGAAAGAAAGAAGAAAGAAAAAGAGAGGGAAGGAGGAAGGGAGGAAGGAAGATTACAAACGAAATTACAGAATTAAGACATTAAAAAATAGGAAACTTTTCAAATCCAGAAAGCTGGTATTGTTGTTATATTTAGGCATCAGCATAATTCTGAGCTAAGTATGTTAGCTTTTAGCAGAATGACTGGAACATTGATACGTATATGAAAAAAA